ACACACACAACCGCACAGAGCTTGGCACCCTTGTCTGAGGCCGAGCAGTTTTTATTACAGGTAGTCCTCGAACTTACGACCACAGTGAAACAGTGGTTCATTTGAGCTTTGCCTCGTTTTAACAACCTTTCTTCCCATCCTGGTTAGGTAGACCCCCCCCCCCAGTTTTGTTTAGTTAATAATCCGGTCGTTAAGTGAACCATCTGGGTTCCCCATTGACTTTGCTGGTCAGAAGGCCGCAAAAGGGGACCTCACGTGACCCGGAGACCCGGCGGCCATCATAAGTGTGGTCACGTGATGCTTTCCCCCAAATGACTGCTTCATTTAGACCCGTGATGGAGAACCTATGGCACACGTGCCAGAGAGCTCTCTCTGGGGCACGCGCACCATTGCCAGCTGCTCGTCTGGTTTCTGGCATGCAGATGTGCGCCGGCCAGCTGGTCTTCGGGGTGCTGGAGCACCAGAAAACAGCCTGGGAAACGGCCATTTTCGGACCTGTTTCAGGCCTTTTTCAGGCCGTCCGCCGGGGCTTTTTCAAGGCGCTTTCAGGCTGTTTTGGGGGCCAAAAACGGCCTGAAATGGCCCGGAAAACAGCCCAGAAAACAGCCTGAAAATGGCCTCCAAAGCAGCCCAAAAACTGCCTAAAAATGGCCTGAAATGGCGCAGAAAACAGCCTGAAAACAGCCCCAAAAAACTGCCTGAAAATGGCCTGAAATGGCCCAGAAAACAGCCTAGAAATCAGCCTGAACATGGTCCCAAAACAGCCTGAAAACACCCCAAAAAACTGTTTGAAAATGGCCCCCAAATGGCCTAAAAAGGCCCAGAAAACAGCCTGAAAATGGCCCCCAAAACAGCCTGAAATGGCCTGAAAAACAGCTCCCAAATGGCCTGAAAAACGCCCCCCCCCAGGGCCAGAAACAGCCAAAAAACAGGCATGCGCGCATCGGCCAGCTGGTCTTTGGGTTTCTGACACTCTGGCGCATGCACCCATGTTCCAGTTTGGGCACTCGGTGCCGAAAAGGTTCGCCATCACTGATTTAGACTGTGGTCGCAATTCCAGTCTCGATTGAGGTTGTTGAGTGAGGACCATCGTGTGTATGTGTGTAAAAGCGTAGCTCAAAATTTAAATATGTGCTCCTTTTTCTTCCTTTCTTCATTGTTTTTATCATTATTATTATTGGACTGCCTACTGTAACTGTCAGGTACAGGGAGTCTTTGAGTTCATATAGTGACCGTTCGAAGTTACAACATCGCTGGAAAAAAAGTGATCGCTTTTCACATTTAACGACCGTTGCAGCATCCGTTACAATTTAGGTTGTCAACATTACGAGTATGAAAGGATTTGCCTTTTTCATCCAAAGGAGAGTAGAACAGGCAGCTGTGATTCCCATCCAAATAGTTGCGATGCAATAAAGATTTCAATCTTAACCTTGATTATTGTACACTAAAGTCTCCATTGTTTTGTTTCCTAGCATCTGTGTGTCTTTGTACATGCCGATGAAAGGAAGGAGAAAAAAAATAGAGAAATGAGGCAAAGTTAACAAGAATTAAAACACCAGAAAGAGGTGGTGGGGCGGGAAGAAAAGAAAAGGGAAAGTAAAAAAAGAACAGTTGGGTTTCTGATTTTTTTTTTCCCTTTTAATGTATCTACTAATTTGCAATTTTTGTAGACAAAATATTCTAAATATTCCCATTTAGAAGCCAGACTGCAAGGGATTATATTGGGCCCGCTGTTCTTTAAACGGGATGCAAAACAGGCTCCAATAATAGTAATAACAGCAATTTATTAAATTGATATACCTGCTGACTCCCGGGGACTCTATTTTAATTATTTATTTTAATATGACAAATGGCATTATAAAATGCTAATAACAGCCTCTGCCTTTCTTGGGCCTTAAATATATACTTGTAAAAACCATCACTCTTGACACGTAGGTATTTTTCTAGGGGTTCACATACATTAAAAGGCAACCTTGTGTGGTGTTCATGTACTCGTACAAGCTCTGGTTTTGAGCAAAACCATATAGGTAATCCTCAACTTGTGGACACAATTCAGCCCAAAATTTTTGTTGTGACGTGAGACTGTCGTTAAATGAATTTTGCCCCATTTTGCTTGCCCCAATCCCATCAGTTGTTCGTTAGTCACACGGTTCTTAAGTGAATTTGCCTTCCCCCGTGGGCTTGGCTTGCAACTGTCATAACTGTGAGTCAGTTGCCAAGCGTCATAAATATATTTTTTTTGCAATCAATTTTTTATTTTTACATTTTAGAAACATCTTGTTCCGTGACCAATGTGGTTCCAGGTTTTTACATTTCACCACAAATATGACCTTAGTATATGTTTATCTTTCACATTCAATTATCTACTTCCATTTGACAATAAATTTTCTCCAATATTCTTACTTTCTTTACACTTATTAAATCCATGTTCAATTTATATCTTAACTTAACTCCTCTTTCTGTAAATATACTTTGTTTTATAGTCTAACATGCATATTTTTTTTATTCTAAATTCATTATTCCTTTATACTTTTATCTGTCATATTTGCAATTTTATCACATACTTTTGTTTCATTATTCAGTAAATTTCAACTTAAATCTATTAATACCAAAAATGTCCCCCTTTAATTACCAATTAGAGCGTGCCACCCTTTTATCTTATACACCCCTCAATTTATTCCCCTTTAATCCATAATCAAAATTTATAATATGATCACTATATAATTACCACATTCTAGTTTAATAACAACAATCTCCTAGCTACTATATGTCACATGTGCATATATGTATTTTAAGCAAGATTCTGCATGACATTCTTTTCCCTCAATTACTGTCTGAGTCATTTATTATTTCAAGTATATCAATCTATTCAGTTAATTATAGAAAAGTGATATTAGTCTCTTCACTAGGATCCTCATAATTCATTTTAACGATAGTCTTTGTGTTCTTATCCGGATATAAATTAAAAATAATCCTTAAAAAACAATTAAAGAAAAAAGAAAATATATCAGTTTCATTCACATTTAAAAACTACATTCTTATGGTCATAAGTGTGGAAGGTGGTCATAAGTCTTCTTTTTTTTTTCCCAGACTCTTTTTGCAGTGACTTCTCCTCAGGCCTCAGTAGGCCTCCAGGCAGCTGCTAGGACACATGCGCTCCACACATCTGAGAAATCCTTTAATGCACCTCCATTTCCCTCCTCTTTCCCCATCGTTCCAAGTCGTGTGGCTTTTTAAGCATGGAGGCGAACACATTGATTAATTTAGTGGCCCCCGTGAATCAACTGACGAACGCGGCCATATATCAATTATTAGAAGAGACTGGGTAGGTCGTTGCAAGGCCATGTTCGCAGCTGCCCTTTTCGTCTCTTGCATAAAGAGTCACGGCGTGTATGAATAAAATGTATTTATAACATGCATTGGCTGCCCATCGTACCACAGGGTAATTCTGGGCAGCTCACAGTCCCAAAAATGTATCTCTGCATATACAGGTAGTCCTCTGCTTATGACTAGCGATTCTGTTGTTAAGCGACACATTTGTTAAGGCCCCCAAATTTCCTGCACCGCACAAGGAATCCTTGGTGCTCTCTCAGCTTGGTGGTTTTTCTTGCAGACGTTTCATGACCCAACGAGGTAACCGCATCAGTGCTAGAAGAGAGTGGGGATTGTGGAGAGGAGGAGGAGGAGGAGAAGAAGGAGGAGGAGGAAAATGACTGTGGGGTCCTTGGTGCTCTCTGAGCTTAGTAGTTTTCTTGCAGACGTTTCATGACCCAACTAGGTAACCTCATGAGGGCTAGAAGGGAGTGGGTTTGTGGAGAAAGGGAGGAAGAGGAGGAGGAGAATGATGACAATGGAGACTTTAGGGTCCTTGGTGCTCTCTGAGATTGGCTGTTTTTGTGCAGACATTTCATTACCCAACTAGGTAACATCTTCAGTGCTAGAAGGAAGTGGGGATTGTGGAGAGGAGGAGGAGGAGGAAAATGATTGTGGGGTCCTTGGTGCTCTCTGAGCTTGGTAGTTTTCTTGCAGACGTTTCATTACCCAACTAGGTAACATCTTCAGTGCTAGAAGGAAGTGGAGATTGTGGAGAGGAGGAGGAGGAGGAGGAGGAGGAGGAGGAGGAGGAAAATGACTGTGGAGTACTGGGTGCTCTCTGAGCTTGGTAGTTTTCTTGCAGACGTTTCATTACCCAACTAGGTAACATCATCAGTGCTAGAAGGGAGTGGGGTTTGTGAAGGAGAAGGAGAGAGGAGGGGGAAGGAGGAGGAGGAGGAAAGCAGGAAGAGGAGGAGGAAGACTGTGTGGTCCTCGGTACTCTCTGAGCTTGATGGTTTTCTTGCAGGCGTTTCATGACCCAACTAGGTAACCTCATCAGTGCTAGAAGGGAGTGGGATTTGTGGGAAAGAGGAGGAGGACTTTAGGGTCCTTGGTGCTCTCTGAGATTGGCTGTTTTTGTGCAGACATTTCATGACCCAGCTCGGAAACATAAGTGCTAGAAGGGAGTACCGTTTGTGGAGAAAGGGAGAAGGAGAAGGAAGGTACTGTGAGGTCCTTGGTGCTCTCAGAGCTTGTTGGTTTTCTTGCAGACC